AAAAAAAAAAAACCACCGAGTTGGTGGCCTAAACAACAGAAATTTGTTTCTTAGCCTCTTGCGAGACTGGGAAGTCTAAGATCAAGGTGGCAGCAAGGTAGGTTTCAGTCTGATACTTTTTCTCTTGGTTTGTAGGTAGGTGGCCACCATCTCACAGGGTACTCATATAACCTCTTTTTTGTTTGGGTAGGGAGAGTGAGCAAGATCTCTGGTGTCTTTTTAGGAAGGCATTAATCCTATTATGTCAGGGCTCTACTCTTATGACCTCATCTAACCTTAATCACCTTAAAGGCCCTGTCTCCAATAGAGTCACATGTATTGGAGGGGTTAGGCCTTCAATATATGAATTGTAAAAATAAGTATTAGTAATATGAACATGATTATGAATATAAACAATTCAGTCCATAGCAGTAAGACTACTTTTTTTGTTTTGTTTTGTTTTTTTTGAGATGGAGTTTCGCTCTTGTTGCCCAGGCTGGAGTGCAATGGCGCAGTCTTGGCTCACCACCACCTCCTCCTCCCGTGTTCAAGCAATTCTCCTGCCTCATTCTCCATGTAGCTGGGATTACGGGCATGCGCCACCATGCCCAGCTAATTTTGTATTTTTAGTAGAGATGGGATTTCTCCATGTTGGTCAGGCTGGTCTTGAACTCCTGACCTCAGGTGATCCATCTGGCTCAGCCTCCCAAAGTGCTAGGATTACAGGCGTGAGCCACCATGCCCAACCAAGACTAATTTTTTAAGGCAAATAAAGCTTTATATATAATACTGAAGTCATATAGCTGAATACACAAATCAAAATAAAGAATTAAATACTTTTTGGATAACTTAGGAGAATGACTTTATGTAGATCCTTTGGAACTTTTCCCCTACTGGAACATAAGCTCCATGTGGGCAAAGGTTTTCGTCTTTTCTGTTCATTGCTAAATCCTCATGACTAGAATAGTGAATAGCACGTAACTGGTGTTCAGTATTTATTGAATACATGATTGAAGGTTTTCTTTTCCTTTTTGGAGCAGGGAGACCCTATATCAGAGCTTAGGAGCCACAGATCATTAAAGCAGATTGCCTTAATTGAATATTGGCTCTATCACTTACTGTTTTTTTACCTTGGATAAGCTACTTTAGTTCTATGTGCTTTAATTTTCTCCTCTGCAAAATGAGTATTTTAAGGTTGTAAAAATTAGATGAATTAATAAGGTAAAACCATTTAGAATAGTATTTAGTACATAGTACATAGAAGTAGGTACCTTGAAGTTGGTTATAAATGTCAGATATAATTTTGCATATATAGTTAATTCTCCTTTCTATGTATGTGATTATAATCTAAGAAAATACTCTGTAAAGTCAGTAATATGGAACATTTTTTGTCTTTTCTTTCAGGAGGAAAAATTGAGGCATGGAGATAGAAAGACTGTAAATGTGATAGCCAAGGGCTGGATCCCACTGGATTAGTCAAAGTAGGACAATATGCTTGCATTTTCCTGCAATTGTTTATTAACTGGAGCTTTCATTCTTCACTTAATCAGTGGTTGATAAGCTATGAATCTAGGTTGAGCCCCTACATTCCCATGTGCAAAGAACATTATAAAATCACTAACGTGGAAATATACAGTCTCCTAACTTTTGGGTCCTGTTATTACTTTTAAAATACAAATTTATTTGTATCATCCTTTAGTCATTAGGTATTTTCTGAAGCAATGGAAGCTGAAAGTATAGAAACTACACGCAGAATCTTCTACATTTGTGGACGATGAAAAAGGAGTCTTTGTTTTTTAAAAAATCAGAAAGCAGTGCTCTAGGGGCTTCTAATATATAAGGAAATTATTGTAATTTCACATACAATATGTTCTAAATCTTGATCTCTTAATCAGAATCGTAGAGAATCTCTCTTCTAGGTTTGCAGTTAATGTTGAAAACCAAAAGCTCCACCTTTGGCTGGATAGTGGATAGAGGGGGTTGGAGGCTGCGGCAAGGTAAACTACAACTCCCAGGATTCTTTGGTGGGCTCTCTGGGAGATGTAGTTTAGTCCCACCTTGGCCCCTCCCTGCCTCACACCATCTCCACCCCAGCTCTGGGCTCACGTTCTGGGTAAGGACGGCGCGGGGGCGGTTGTCTCATGACAATTTCATTCTCGTTTTGTCATTTTTCTCATTTAGCTCATTTTTGTCATTTTAGTCCATTGTTAGGCATGCTCGAGGACTACTCCTTCGGAGAGAGGTCGTTGCGGAGGAGGGGCCGGGAGCGTGTGTTAACCCGGAAGAAGTGAACCAGGAAGTCAACGTGATTTCGGGTTTGTTGGGCTGAAATGTGGCGGGTCTCTGAAGGTTCCGACCTCAGTAAAGAGAGCTGACGTCTATTCTTCTTTTTCTTAGGTACTGTGCACAGTTCGTTCCTGATCTTCGCCGCCGCCTCCTGTATTACCTCTTTATGGAATCACTCCATATACTGAGTTACACAGCATGGTTTGCCCGTGCTGCTGCCCCGCGGGCTGTCGCTTCTGACCTGCCTACACTTAGAACTTTCCCCAAAGCATCAGAGTAATACTGTTACTGTGACGGGTAATGGAGAAGTCGTGCTGTTCTCAGGTGTAGTTAACCTTGGAGAGCAAACATCTTGGTTTTTTTGGTTTGTTTTTTTCCTTAATGTTGAGATTCATGACCTTGAAAATTATGCATTCTACTCTGTTCCTAAAATGGAAATTTTAGCAATAAGTATTCGTACAAACATGTATTTGTCATCCTTTTCTGTCTGTTAGCAAATGGACACACTTTCTCTGACGTGCTTGAAATATGGGGGTGGTGGAGTGTAATGTTTGTGACAGCTGGCCATTGGTGCTTTCTTCCACAGTTCTTTTAATAATGTGATGCACTATCCTAAAATCTATCAGTAGAACTCTGGAAACTGAATGTTTTAAAGACCATTCTGAATGTTTATTTCCTAGGTGATAATGGTAAGTTAACAGGCTTATAGTGAACAAATGAGCTAATATATCAATGCACCTCCTAGCATAGTAGGATCACTGGAGAAAGTAAAGGTTGATTTTGATAAATGTTGATCCTTCTTTTTTTGAGTTGAGTCTCACTATGTTGCCCAGGCTGGCCTTGAACTTCGTAGCTCAAGTGATCCTCCTGCCTCAGCCTCCTGGGTAGCTGGACAATAGATGCATGCTACTGTGTGTGGCTTGACCCTTATTTCAACTTTGAACCTCAGAGTTTTAGAGGCAAAGTGTGTTTCTTAGAACACTTTATATTCTCCCTTTCTTACTCAGTAAGACCATTGTGTACTTTTGTTAGCTCTTGATTATCTCTGTTGGAGGGGAGGAGAACAAAATTATTGTACACAGCCAATTTCACCTAACCTGTAATTTTTTAAACTAATTTTTTTTTGTGATTATGAATGTATTCCATGCTATATGTGCAAGAGACTTGGAAAACACTGAAAAGTAGAAAAAATAGCAAGCAAAAGGTATTCATAATCTCACAACTAGAGATCATTTTATTAACATTTTGGTATGTTTCTTTTTTTTTTTTTTTTGAGACAGAGTGTTGCTTTGTCGCCCACGCTGAAGTGCAGTGATGCAATCTCAGTTCACTGCAACCTCCGCCTCCCAGGTTCAAGCAATTCTTCTGCCTCAGCTTCCCAAGCAGCTGGGACTACAGGCACATGCCATCAAGCTTGGCTAATTGTTTTGATATTTTTAGTAGAGAAAGGGTTTTTCCGTGTTGGCAAGGCTGGTCTCGAACTCCTGACCTCAGATGATCTGCCCGCCTCGGCCTCCCAAAGTTGTAGGATTACAGGCATGAGCCACTGTGCCCAGCACATTTTGGTATGTTTCTTATTTAACATTCTTTTTAAAAAATACTCTATGTGCTTTTTTTTCTTTTTTTACATGTATACTATATATTATAGAGTATTTTTTAAATGTAATTGAGATTCTATTTTGTTCCTTGCTTTTCTTGCTTAATATAATTGACACCACTTAATATAACTGTAGGACTTTTCACCAACCCTACTTTCTTGGTCTATTAATACTTGAACTTTTCTTCCTTTAGGATCTCAGCTAAAAGGGAAGCATTTTTGAAAAATGATTGCAGAATTGAGAGTGAAAATTACTGAGTCCTGAACAGGCAACTTACATTCTAATACCAGCTCTGTCTCTATCCAGCCGACTGAACAGTCATGATTAAGTTACTTGACTTCCTTGGATATCTAGATCCTTAAAGTTAAAGAATTATACAAGATAATAATAATATTTTCTTCAAACTTTAGAAAATGACTCTGTGAATCACCTTAAGACTGTGTTTGGAGCTGGCTGAGGCAGTAAATGAAACAAGATTTCTTGATGTTCCTTCCAGCTTTATTATGCATGTATCTTTAGAGCTGATTTTTTTTTAAAGACTGTGTTTATTGTATTTCAGATGCTGAGATGAATCGTCACCTGTGTGTTTGGCTTTTTAGACATCCATCTCTTAATGGTTACCTCCAGTGTCACATCCAGCTCCATTCTCATCGATTTAGACAGATACATCTTGATACAAGGCTGCAAGTTTTTAGACAAAACAGGAATTGCATTTTTCATCTGTTAAGTAAGAATCGGCCCAGGAGATATTGCCATCAAGACACCAAGATGCTTTGGAAGCATAAAGCACTACAGAAATATATGGAGAACCTGAATAAGGAGTACCAAACACTTGAGCAATGTCTGCAGCATATCCCTGTGAATGAAGAGAACCGAAGGTCCTTGAACAGAAGGCATGCTGAGTTGGCACCTCTTGCAGCCATTTACCAAGAAATTCAGGAGACTGAACAAGCAATTGAAGAATTAGAATCAATGTGTAAAAGTAGGTAAAAGATACGTATGTGTCCTGCATAAGGGCTATTTTTATGTGTGTGTGTAAGTACAGATTTGATTTTCTAAGTTAAAACTTTATTGAACTTAGTCTTTTGTTTTTTTTTTTCCCACAGAAGCAGGGTCTCACTTGTTGCCCAGGCAGGAGTGCAGTGACTCAATCGTAGCTCACTGTAACCTCTAAGTCCTGGCCTCCCACTTCAGAATTCTGAGTAGCTAGGGCTGCTGTGCCAGGGCTTTCCAAAGCAATGTGATTATAGCCACTGTGCCACTGAGGCTGGCCTGAACTCAGTCTTTTAAAAAACCTACAAGTAATAAGCCCAACACTTGGAAAGAACAGGACTCTGTACCCAGAGTGTTTGACCCACTTTAGCTACTAAAGATCAACTCTAAGTAACTAGGCTCCTCGTGGTACTTGCCATGGTCTTAAGGTCTGGGAGACAAAATGTTGGTCTTTTCAGAAGCTTTATTTTATTGAGCAGAACTTTATTGAACACTGTACCTACATAGTAGGGCTACACACACAGTTCCTACCCCATCAATGAGCTTCTATGGTCTAGTGAGAGAAACTTATTTAAGTATTGTTTATAATGTGAGACCTGCTGTACTAGAGGAAGGCACAGTTTCATGACAGCAAAGAGGAGAGGGCCCTCAAACCAGCCTGGACTGATTGGGTAAAGCTTCCTGGAGGGGACCACGCATTAGTGGAGCCAAGAAGGAAGCTTTATATTTCTTTTTTTTTTTTTTTTGAGACAGAGTCTTGCTGTGTCACCCAGGCTGGAGTACAGTGGCACGATCTCGGCCACTGCAACCTCTGCCTCCCAGGTTCAAGCGATTCTCCCACCTCAGCCTCCGGAGGAGCTGGGACTACAGGCACCTGCCACCATTCCCAGCTAATTTTTTTTTGTATTTTAGTAGAGACGGGGTTTCACCATGTTGGCCAGGCTGGTCTCGAACTCCTGACCTCAAGTGATCTGCCTGCCTTGGCCTCCCAAAGTGCTAGGATTACAGGCATGAGCCACCACACCTGGCCATGATATGTATTTTAAAGTACCTTACTAAGCCAGGCACAGTGGCACACACCTGTAATCTCAGCTACTTAGAAGGCTGAAGCAGGAAGATTGCTTGAGTCCAGGAGTTTGAGACTGTAGTGCGCCATCATCGCATCTGAGAATAGCTACTGGCACTCCAGCCTGGGCAACATAGTGAGTCCTCATCTCTCTTAAAAAAAAAAAAAAAAAAGTGAACTGAGTATGAATGTATCAAGAGGTTTTAAGAATTCTTATTTCTGACTTCTCTTGGATAATATGGAAGTTGTAGCTGTGCTGGACCATGTCACAGTATGCTGAGTTACAGCTGCCACCTTTAGACAGGAAATGCTCACTCCAGTTTGTTCCAAAACTTACCTTATTTGGGTTTATATTTAATTAGCTGGTCCCTTTTTAAACCTGTTTGATTAATCACTTGATTTATGTAATTATAGACCTTCAAATAACGAGCTTTGTAAATGTGGGTTTCTATATTAAGCATATTTTTGTTACTACTGTTAATAGATTGATTTGTTTAGAGATTAAATGTTTTAAGCTATTTTACCTTAAAAAACACACACACAAGGTTTTGGGAGGCACGATTATATTACTTTTCACATTGAGCTTTTTGGAAATGCTTAGCAAATACTTGTTAATTGACATTTTCCAAATATTCTAAATGTTCCCTTGTATAATCCCTTGCATTTGCAATTGAAATAAAACTTAGTAGCCAAAGAGGAACATGGCTACTTAGGAGTTTCTCCAAAACTTTTCATTATTTCTGTTTCTGGCTTTTAGGCCTAAATAAACAAGATGAAAAGCAGTTACAAGAACTTGCACTGGAAGAAAGGCAAACCATTGATCAAAAAATCAACATGTTGTACAATGAGGTAGGTTTTCAGAAGTAGACTAGTTTAGTAGTGCTGTATAAAGGAATACTGTTTTTGCTAGACTCTGCTTTGGTGCTCAAAATGGTTTCCAAACACTATTTTAAGTGTTCTCTTATGATAAGTGATCAAGCTGGTCTCCTATAATTTGCTGCAGAATGAGAATGAAGAAATTACGGTGTCACATAATAAAACAAAGACTCCCAGGGTAAAAAAAAAAAAGAAAAATTCAAAGTTGAGTCTGTTAACTTGTTAAGCAAGAGCATACATGCTGGTAAAGAAATTTAGTTCACCACAGGGACGAGTCAGAGGGTTTTAAGAGTGAGAAGTGGAGGAGGAGTTGTTCATGGTGACTGTTAATTAAGGATTGGAAATTTGCACTCTGGATAGAATGGAATGAATCCAAAGGCGTAGAAATAGTTGGTTAACACACATCTTTAGTTAGGTCTAGTAAGGGTGTGGTATACTGGAGCCTCTCAGGATTCATGATACTGTATCAGCATCAGCTGATACCTCCTAGACATGGGAATGGAAGATTTCCCTTCCATAGTGGTCTCTTTTCCTTCTTGCTTAATGGATGGTTTGTCTACAAAGACAATGAAGAATGCACTACGGTACACCATGTTTCCCTCTGTCACATTTGCTGTCTTCCTACCTTCAGTCTTTCTTACTCTGGGAATCCAAGAGACGGGCTTTTTGAAAAGTTAAGGGGGAGGTTACATGGGATATCAGTTATTTTTATTACGAATTGAACCAGTTAATCAAAGGTAGAAGATGTCTGACTCTTAGTCTGATGTTCTCTCCCATAGACTATATCATTTCTAGCAGAGATGGAGTATTTCAGAAATTGGCAGTAGGGAGAATCATGACACATAGGTACTTTTAGTTTGATTTGAAAAACTTTTTAGTAATAGTGAAATTACTTCCCTTTTCTTCCTAAGAGGAAAGTTGGTTACTTTCTTTATTAGGAAGCCTTTTTTTTTTTCTGGTCACAGCTGAGAAACTCATTTTGAGCCTTATCTTGGGAGCCCTCAACATAGTCTTTAATTAGAGCGACTCTGCTGAGAAGGCACAGCATGGCTGGTGTCTGCTGTCAGTTACAGCAGGAGATAATATGAAATCATTTCTCAAATTGAAGACTTTGAAAGCCTTGCTTCATTCGTTAGATGAAAGAAGCTGCTGTTCAGAACTAATTATAAGAGCCAGAATCTGAAGAAAATTGAATGGAACACCCTGGACTTTGATCTGAACTTCTGCATTCTAGAAAATTAAGATAATCTGATAACAGTGCAGAAAATATACTGACAGGTAACTCCATTGTTAACCTGAATTGATCACCTGTTTTAGGTCTAATTAGTTCTACTTATTATAGCATTTTTGGAATACCCTGTTTGGGATACTGTATGATTTTGCCAATTATTGATGTTTTCAATGTTTTTGGGGCCTTTATTTAAATTCAGTAATAGTATGCCGGGGAATATATACACACAAATGCTGATTTTTATTCCAGCTTTTCCAGAGCCTTCTGCCAAAGGAGAAATATGACAAAAATGATGTTATTTTAGAGGTGACATCTGGAAGAACTACTGGAGGTCAGTAAACTTATTTTATTATTTAAATGATCTAAAAAGTCCTTGAATTTTACCTTATCTGATAACATTAACTTTAAAAGTCCATTAAATGTATTTAAATTTGCAAATAGTTATTCTTTGTGTCTTAAAGGACTTAGTCTTAAGGATGGCTTTCTGAAATTTGTTCTGACTAAATATTTTTCATATTTTCTTTTAGGTGACATCTGCCAACAATTTACCCGAGAAATATTTGACATGTACCAGAATTATTCGTGCTATAAACACTGGCAATTTGAACTTCTGAATTATACACCAGCAGATTATGGTAGGCATACTGAGGAATTTGCCCGTAGCAGATACTGAAAATTATTTTACCTCTGATCTTGATTAGAACCATATTGTCCCATTTTTTTTTTTAAACTTTTGGTGTATATCTACTAAACACTGTGACATAGGCTCATCAATCACAGTGGCTTTCTATTATAGTAGAGTTGTTAGCTGGGAGAAGAGAGTGGAAATGAGGGAAGCGTTTGCTTAGGGAGAAATATGTGAATTAGAGAAAATTCCCCTGAGGAACTTAGATACGTATCTTGCCTCAAAATCATTTTTCTCTGTTATTGAAAGCAAAGATATATTAAGGTTTTTACTTTAAATAGCTTTATTTATAAAATAATATAATAAGTACTACTAATTAGACTAAGTGGCTAATGTGTTTGATTTTTATGAGAATATAGAAAAAGTTAACCATTTGTCTTTATTTTCAAGAAACTTCTGTTCTCTTTTGGCTGATAAAAATTTATACAACGGCTGGACACTATGGCTCATGCCTATAATCCCAGCACTCTGGGAGGCCGAGGTGGGTGGATCACCTGAGGTCAGGAGTTTGAGACCAGCCTGGCCGACATGGTAAAACCTTGTCTCTACTAAAAATACAAAAATTAATTGGGCATGGTGGCATGGGCCTGTAATCCCAACTACTCGGGAGGCTGAGGCAGGAGAATCGCTTGAACCCGGAAGGGGGAGGTTGCAGTGAGCCGAGATCACCCCAGTGCACTCCTGCCTGGGCAACAGAGCGAGACTGTCTCAAAAAATAATAATAATAATAATACAACATAGGCAAACAGTGCAGTTCTTTACCTTTAAATACTCAAGTACATTGATTCAAAACGTGATGATAATTCTCTCATTTGTCCCATTCTTTTAATCCATTTGAAAATTTTCCTCTGCTTGGTTACGCAGTGATACATTGTAGTAGACAGAGGAGTCATCAATAATAAACCACAAACTATCAAAGTAGGGAGAGAAGATTCATGTAAGTTGAACAGTAAAGGGAAATAAGAACCAGCATACAGCCTAAGGAAGTTGTACTTGGTACAGATTTCAGATACAACCAGTGGTCAGGAAAGGGCATTATCCGTGAGCGCAGAGGGAAGAAACAACCGGAGCAGCAGCATGCTGGTGGGAGAGGTCTTGGTGTGTCGGGGAGGGAGTGGGGAGGCCAGTTTACCCATAGCTTGTCAGGGAAGTAATCCCTGAAGTAGGTTTGAGTGGATAGATTTTGAACAGCTTTGACTGATGGGCAGTAGGAAGCTGTTGAAAATTGTATTAATATGATTTGATAAAATATATTTTAAGGAGATTATTTTGACAATAGTGATGGATGGATGGATGGATGGATGCATGCATGGATGCATGGATGGAAAGGCTAGATTTAGTGCAGACTGCAAAAAGGTTATTACAGTAATCCAGATATGACTAAGAGTTAGAATGGGAAGTAGAATTATGTGTCAGAGACCTTCAAAGGATGAATAGGCATAATTTGCTGAGTAAGTAGATGTGAGAGGAACTGTTGCTTATCCAGTATGTCCTGTATGAACAACTTCACATCCTTGTGAAATAGGTATTACTAATCTCATTTTACAGATGAGAATCTAGGCTCAGAGAGTAACTAACTAATCCAGGACCACACAGTAAGTAATGGCAATCTTGGGATTAAATTTTAGTCTGTTTGATCCAGAGCTGCACTACATCCCATGATTCTATTCTGACACAAAGGAGATGAGCCACAGGGAGTCTAATCTTTCTAGCTGAGAAGACTGTGATACTCATTCATGCCGTTGGATGGAATAGAAGTTGGAAGGCAGAAACCATTTGGAAAGAATAATGATGAATGGTTTTTAAATTATTAAGTTTGAGGTTATAGTGAGCATCCACTTAGAAATAGTCAGTAAATAGGCTGGGCACAGTGCCTCACACCTGTAATCCCAGCACTTTGGGAGACTGAGTTCAAGACCAGCCTGACCAACATGGTAAAACCCCGTCTCTACTAAAGATATAAAAATTACCTGTAATCTCAGCTACTCGGGAGGCTGAGGTACGAGAATCATTTGAACCCGGGAGGCGCAGGTTGCAGTGAGTTGAGATTGCACCAGTGCACTCCAACCTGGGCAATAGAGTGAGACTCAGTCTCAAAAAAAAAAAAAGAAAGAAATATTCAGAGTAAATATTAAGTTGAGTAACCAGATCTTTGGTGAGAGAACAGAACTCAGGCAAACTATTTGATACCTGTTAACTCAGAGACAATGTCTGATACTGAGAGAATAAGTGAGGGAGAGTCTGTAGAGAGAGAGCATTCAGGGCAACAAGCTTTGGAGAATGACCACGTTTAGAAGGATAGACCAGTTGGCAAAATAAAAGGAGGATTCAAGATAAGCAGAAAAAGGATGAGGACAGTAAAATATTATGGAAGCAAAAGAGGAGAGAGTTTCAAGGAGAATGTAAGAAGAAACAGCAGCATTGTGAAAAGGAGAGCAGTGGAAAATATCGTGAGTGAACTCTGATAGGTGTATTTTGAATGAGACTTTCAAGAATAAAAGGGAGATGACCTCAATAACAGGAAGAGAGATTCTGTTCCAGGTTTGTAGAGCAGCCTAAACAATGGTTGGGAAAACTTGCCTTTAGATACACTAACTCACTGCCAAAATAAAAATATTTTGAAAAGTTAAAAGCCTCCTTTTTTTAAAAAAAAAGAAACATTACAAATATTTTACTCATATCCCTTTAAAATTAAAGACTAAGGGCTGGGCTTGATTGAGCCCAGGAGGTTTGATTGAGCCCAGGAGGTCGAGGCTGCAGTGAGCCATGATTGTGCCACTGCACTCCAGCCTGGGCAACAGAGCTAGACTCTGTCCCGAAAGAAGTGGGGAGAGGGGATAGTAAATGGAAGCAAACAGTCATGTTCCAGAGTGGCAGTGGGAAAAGAAATGACCTCCTGACCTCGTGATCCACCCACCTCGGCCTGCCAAAGTACTGGGATTACAGGCGTAAGCCACCACGCCCAGCCTAAAAAAATGATTTCTTTATTAGAAGCAGTTAGGGGAAGAAAATGATGTGGATAAAGAAAGGGCAAAAAGCACCTCCCTTATATACATGTTAAATTACATGTGTGTGCACACAGATATATTTTTTTAATGTTTAATTGAAATGGAGAGGAACTCATAGATAACCATAGAGATTCACATAGCACTAAAAGCTAAAGTTGAAAGTTTCATGTACAAATTCATACATTAAGTGACTTTCAAAGTCATATCATTTTATGGCAGTAGGTACAGATAGAGACAATATTTAACCATTTCAGAAATAGTTCAAACTAAATGATCACAAGATAGTCTATGGAAGCAGTGGAAGGTAATGGTTCTAGATATGTAGTGTAGGTCTGACACTATCGATCTGTAAACCTGGTATCTAATGAATTGAAATATTTTCCACATTAAAGGGATTCTATAAAATATATTGCATGATCTCCCCAGCCCTCGATGGATGAATGTTTATAATTATGTTTTGGTATTCTCTACTCACGAGTTGAATTTGGAGAGGGGTGGCTTACTGGAATGTAATTGTGAATTTTATGTGTCCAGATGACTCACGTTTCACCACAACTGTGAGAAACATATTTGTGGGGAGCCCCAGCATCCGTCAGGATCTCTGTGACCACTCTTCTCTCTAGGTCACACCATACAGTGGGGACTTTGGTCACTGAATTGGGAAACCTAAATGTAGTAAGAGTAATTCGATCCCAGGGTGGCAGGGGCCAACTGGTGGTACCCCACTGCCAAATGCCAAGTAGTAGGCGTAATTACCGTGCCAGACAGCAGAGTCAAAATAGCAAGCAGTGACCGGGCGCAGTGGCTCACGCCTGTAATCTCAGCACTTTGGGAGACTGAGATGGGTGGATCACCTGAGGTCAGGAGTTCGAGAGCATCCTGGCCAACATGGCGAAACCTCATCTCTACTAAAACTACAAAAATTAGCCGAGTGTAGCCCGTGGCTGTACCCTCAGCTACTCAGGAGGCTGAGGCAGGAGAATCACTTGAACCCGGGAGGTGGAGGTTGCAGTGAGCCGAGATTGCTCCACTGCAGTCCTGTCTGGGTGACAGAGCAAGACTCCGTCAAAAGAAAAAAAAAAAAAAGCAAGCAGAATAGTCTCACTTTTGCAGACTTACAGCATTGATCATGGTGTTCCTAGAAGTGAAATAGATAGGAAGCCTACTACTTGATCTGTATAAGAGAAAATTTCTAGGTCAAGTAAACAGAAGTCTATCCTGAATCATAAAAACCGAGAATCACAGCTGCTCAACCAGTTTCCAGACTTGAGCCAATTTCCAGACCCAGAATACCTTGAGTGAAGGCGAGTGTGTAGGTCCCCTTGAGGAAAATCCCCAGGATACTGCCAAAACTTTTCCCCAGCCTCCTCAAAGGGGTTTATAGCCTTTTAATACAGTAACTATACTTTGGAGAAAAGAAAGTAATCAGAACTTTTGAGGACTTCTAGTCACTATCTGTAAGCCAACACTAATTCTAGGACATTCAAAAATGTCACTGTGATCTACTAGTCAGGATAGGGGCTTGTGTGGAGGTCAGGTGATCAATGAGTTTTAGGTCATGGCCATCTCACAGTGGGCCCAGGGTGAAAATAACCAATCCTGTGGTTACTTTCCCAGTTCCAGAATGCAAAATTGGAATAGACATACTCAGCAGCTGGTAGAATCCACACACTGGTTCCCTGACCTATGGAGCAAAGGCTATTATGGTGGGAAAGACCAAGTGGAAGCCACCAGAACGGCCTCTAGGAAAATAGCAAACTAAAAGCAATACTGCAGTTCTGGAGGGATCATGGAGATTGGTGCTGCCACCAAGGACCTGAAAAATGCAGGGGTGGTAATTCCCCTCACATCCCCATTTAGCTCCCCTATTTGGCCTGTACAGAAGACAGGTGGATCCTGGAGAAATGATGGATTATTGAAAGCTTAAACAGGCAGTGAATCC